AAGATGGTTCAATTGTCATTTACATAGAAATGGTGCCATCAATATGGGGCATACGCATATTTTCAAAAAGTGTAAAGAACTGACCTTGCACTGAGTGTTCATGCTTTTTAATGTCTAGTCACAAAACGGGCTAAACATTACAAATATATAATATTTCCCATTTAGTTAAACCTTTGTTACGTTCCTATAGAACTCCATATCAAAATGACTATACATGGGAACTAGTGCAACCTGGAGGAGGCCTGGTCTTTGTGACAAGGCAGGCACGGAGTAAAATAGACGAAGTGCTCTTGAGCAGTTCCAGAGCAATGGCAGATATATTAAGGCCATTTTGAAAATTACAGGAAAAAAAAAAATGTAGAAGAGAACTTGGCTTGCTGCCCGCGCTAAACAGAGTTCAGCCGGGGCAGCAAAGCAAGCAACACCGATTGAATCAATTGTTTTCCAATCCACAGATGTCAAACTTCCATGTGCCAGCCTCCCCCCTCAATGTCTCTGGTCAGAAAGCTCCACTCCTCTTTATTCAAGTGTGTTCAGTTTTGGTGGAAATAAAAGAGTGGCACACTCACTAGTCCTTTTCTTTGTAAAAACCTCCATGCTTCATACCCTTCTTTATAGTCCAGGAGCAAAGTCGGGCAGTCAGGACTGTTTTAGGCGCTTCCTCGGAAGACCAAAGGGTGGGCACTGTGCGGAAGCCAGGGCACGGAAGGCTTCGGCTACCAAGTGAGGATGGGACTGGATCATTGACTTCCAGCCTGCGGTCTCCATTATGTCTGTGGCGTGACTGTAAGCACAGGCAAAGTGAAGTTAACACCAAGACGCCATGATCGGCACATTAAAAAGCAATAAACATAAATGAGATTGTAATGCAGGAGAGCGCTGACTCAGCAGCTGCATCTTCATCCAGAAAAGGACCAGAAGTGCTTTTCGCCACAAAGATAAACAGAAAATTAATTCTAAGAGACGCATAAAAAAAAAAAAAAACAATAAAAAAATAGACGGTTTCAGCCTGGCCGTGATCAGTGATTGATTAGCAAACACACCCTAAAATAATGCTAACACATCGTCATAGCAACACTAATCTTTTGTGTGAATGTCGCTATTGAGAGAAGAAAACTTAAAAGGTGTCTACTTTCATTATCACTTGAGTGTTTGGAAATTAAATCAAAGGAAGGTTCTTTTGAAAGAAAACCATTTTATCAAACTGTGAAAAGTGTTAAAGGACACTTGAGACGGATGATGTGAATTCTGAACTAAGTGTGGTAAAAACTGCTTTGAGTGTTTTGAGATCTGTGTTTTGAAATGTATTTAGAAATGCTGGCAGCCTTTTCTAAATTTCAGTTAAGTGCTCTAAATTCTCTTGTGAATCCATCCAGCTGTCATTAATGCTAGCTCCGCTAACTGGTAAGGCAGTTTAAAAGTGCCAAATACACCTTAAATGTCATCATTATTTCAAGAAAGTAAAATCCTCTTTATAAAGACTGATTTATCGATCGGTGGGGTGTCACCTCAGCACCTCAAAGCTTTACAAGAACCAGCAAAAGAAAAAAGAGCCATAAAATTCTGCTCTATCCAGGACCCACCACTGCATGCATAAAACAACCAAAATAAAGTTCTTCATTTCAAGGTGTCCTGAAACACTGCACTACATCATCGAAAAGAAAAACTTGCTTCCTTTCTTTAAAAAATAAAACAAATATTCCTTTTTGCGGGGTTTATCCAAGTATGAGTCTATTAATAACTTGGATCCAAAGATAAGGGGCTTCAAACTGAAAAGGCAAACAGCACTCTGTCTGCCTAAGCTAAAACAATGAATTCTAATGCATCTGGTAGGGGGAAGAGATAAGAGCGTGTTATTAATCTTGTGTCACATATATCAGCTAATTACATACTTGCTATTCCAGTTCTTTCCATCTTTACAGCCCAGCTGTCTCAGGACACTGCACCTATGGCAAGGAGATAAAAAGGTAAGCATTCAAGGCTGGTAAACAGAAATGGCAGCAGGAATTTATCCCTTTGCCTTTTTTTTTTTTTTTTGCGATACTTGCCTGTTGATAAAATCTATGGCTTGTGCTTTGAGTTGCTCGGCACTGTGCAAGTCAGCCAAGATGAGGGTGTCGGCCACATTCTCCACTGAAAGGCTGTTGCACAAGGCCTCCTCACACATGACCTTTAAACGCTCCAGAGCATACTAGAGAGGGGGTAAAGGGGGGAAACAGGATACAGCCGTGATCGAAAGGTTAGGAAATGCATTCAGTTGGTTTAGGGATTTTATTATTTGAGACTGTCCGCAAATCTGTTTTCAGTTAAAATGTGCGTAGTGAACCTACGATCATCACAAAAAGCTTGATTATACTCCTAATATTAGTTAAAAAAAAAAAAAATGAATCTTTTATTAATGAAATGACTGGTTCTGCCTTTCCATCAGCTGCAGTTATAATATAAATGCAAGCAAGTCTAAAACCTTTTTATTGTCTCCAGGAACACACCTTTCCACCATATGACAGATACAGCTAAATCACATGTTGCCTGTATGCCGTGTGCTTACAACCACCGGTTGTATTCTGCCAGTAGGCTGCACATGTTGTTGTTACATGTGTAATGTGTCTCACAAATGTGCCGTATTTCCCCTGCGCTTCCTGTCTCTGTTACAATGAAACTGACAGAGATAAAAGAAGAGGTGCCGACTCCCAGAGCGCTCAAAGAGGCGTGTCCACAAAAACGCAGCATCATCAAAACTAATCAGGCAGCAACAAATCATTACAATAACATTTAATATGACACAAGAGGTGCCTGTGCTACAAAAACATGTCAATAACATTTAATAATGCAATGCTTTGAGCAGAAGGCAGAAGATAGAATGCCTCCTGCTTAAAATGATCAGGAGTGTGCAATATTTAAAGGGGCATAGTACACATGATGTATTTTGCCTTATTTTCAACAGGAAACATGCTAAATTTCAGAATAAAATCATCCATTTGAACTAATTCAACATGGGAAGACAACTAAACATGACTACAGAGTTGTCAAGTTGCTTTATTTTCTAACTGTAGAATCAGTTTTTGTTTAAAAACCTAGCATTGCTGTATTAGTTTCTGAGAGACTAATGTTTTTTCCCACTAGATGTGAGCAGTGACTTTCAGATGCTGCTCAAGGGAGTTACACAACCCTTCCTCTGTGTTCACAGGACAGCAAACAGTTTCAGAAACTGACAGATACATTTTTGATTTTACAAATATCACATTAAATTGAATCTAAGAATTTGCTATAACACAAAAATTTCAATTTGATATACTAAAAGGATGACTTTCTTGTCAACTTGCTTTTTACATGGCCTGCCACACTTTCTGGCAACTCCTGGTGGAATTATAAAAATTCCTAACTGTAGTGGAATAATTTCCAATTGAAAGTTTTAGAAAAATTTGACCTTTAATTTGAAGTTTTTATAACGGATTCATTTCTAAAATTTAAACTAACTTTTAATAAATTCATCAGTAGTCTAGGAGCTTGGTGTTTTCCTGGCATGGGCCATGAATAACTTCCCTAGGGCACTTTTTCCAAAAATCCTCTTTTCTGAATGCTCCTGAACACAACCATGTAAACATTTAACAGGACAAGACTATGCATCATCTTACTGGACAGCTGGTATGGCAGTCTGAGATGTGAATATTTTCCACATGAAATAAATACTTTTTTATTGTTATATTATGCTGCTATAAAAATATATAAGAATTTATTTTTAGGATCTTCTGCAGGGATGCGCAAATGTGTAATATGCATTCCAGGGTCAAATCCATATATTGTAGGTGTTAACCCATTGCATTAGAGTAATAATCTCAGCAGTCGTCAGTAAATCCAATGGGATATTCTAACCTATTTTACATTTCCAGTGGAGCAGATGAGAGTACATAATTATGCTCAGGACTATATAATGCAAAATGTACTGTTTTATTAATAAAGATTTATTTTAAACTAGCTACTTTGTTTAAAGTAGAATCCTGACATAAAGACGTCTTTAGAATAAGAGGTGAAATGTTTTCAAGCAACCAGCCGTCTTGTTTCCTTCCACTTAAGCACTTAGATTTTCAGTCACCCACTTCCTGGGTAACTGAGAAACTACACAAGTGTTCTTTGTGAAAATAAAAATACATCATTCATATATAATTACCGTATGTTTTTCAAATTATTAACTGATAACCATCTAGAAATTGTGAGGATTGGCCATACTAGGGATTCCAATTAAGAAAAAGTTAAAGGAAGATAATGATCGGATACAAATGGAGCTGACAAAGCTAACCTTCCACAGGTACTTACTTTATCAGCAGCTGCCAGCAAATTGTCTGCCATTTTTTCCAAGTTTGGCGCCTTCCCTGTATAAATGAAGCCCATCATTTCCCTAAAGACATCTGGATCCACATCACTGATGTCAACTCGATTCTGCAGATGAAACAAAATGTTTGTTTACTGCACATAAAATTATGATGTCATGGATTACAGTGCTTTACAAAACTTGATTTTTTCCCCCCACAATCTGAACAACAAAGTTGATGCACATTTGTTATTTGTTTTTTCAAAAGAATATTAAAAAAAAAAAAACATGTGGTTTTTTTGAAGACAGAAGAAAGAGACAGAAAATGAATAAAACAAAGTGTTCTGATCAGATAAGACCAGACCGAGATGTTTTTGGCTCACATGAAGAGCATTATTAGGGTCAGAAACTTAAACAACATGAGCACAACATTCTGAAAGAAAAACAAATGGCCCAGTCAAAGTTAAGAGCTAAATTCAATTGAGAATATGGGGAAATACTTTAAAATAGCTGTTTTTTACAGTGAATCCTCATCAAACATGCCTTCTGAAGGGAAGGTTTTATTTAAATGCAACAGACTAAATAGGGCTAGCAACATGTGCATGCCTCGCTTTCACTGTCTTCAGGATCACATAAAATGTTTTGGGGGCACTTCAGTCGAAACAAACTGAAGTTTGAGGGTATAACTAGACAAAACACAAAAAACTCTAAAAAGTGTGAAAAGAGGCACTGTAGAGTAAATACTTAAGCCATTTGGTGGGATTTAGCTTCCTGATTGCTAACACGGCTGCAGCATTTTAGCAATCAAGAACCAGTTTGTGTATTGAGGACACGGGAGAAGAAGTAAGTTGGTGCTCTTACCTTTTTACTTTCCTCCATTTCATGTTCGAACATTGCATTAAAGACCGGAGACCTTGCTGTTAAAGTAAACACAGAAATGAATAAATAAACCTGCATGCAAAAAGGATTAGTCAATGCTTCAGTACACTTAAAGGTTTCTCTTTTTACTCCAACAATATCACATGTCTATTTTGCACATCTTTAAACATTTTCACTCATCTTCTCTCCTTTGAACAGATTCGGTTGGTAATACCTCAAGCCAGAGTTTCCTCCTGTACTAAAACTCAAATGATGTTGCTCACTTGTTAGTCACTCTGGATTAAGGCCCGTGTCCAATGAGCAGAGAAAATCTACATTTAACGTTCAGAGCGCCAAAGAAAAAAAAAAGAAAAAACTGCAGCGTAATTCCCATAATAGTCACGTTGTAAGCATTTTTTCCTTGAACACTTCACCAGCCACCATGTCTAATCGAGATAAGCGCAGAGAGCCAGCCTCTCAATCTCCCAGATCCTCCAGTCATCTGGGTCAAGCAGAGCCAAGCAGGAGCGAAGTTGTGGATTAGCAACCACTGCAGAACTGGGCCACAACAAATCAAGTCCAGCGCACAGAGCCTCCTTAGCTTCTCAGGTGCTTATGGCTCTCTATGAGAGGTCATCCACAAGAAGCATTGATGTCTTTTTTTTTTTTTAAGTGCCTCTTGTGACGCTGCGCTCCTGAATGTTGCGTGTCAGTTCTGATGGGGGATGAAAATGTCCTACCTGCAAGGATGGATTTGTGGGCTTTGAACTCTTGGCCTCCCACGTAGAGGCTGCAGTCTGTGAAGCGTGAACACTCCCACAGGTTCCCAAGGTCATCAGACAGCTGACATTCTGGTACTTTCAGCATGTTCATGTTAGACTGACCCGAAATGTTGACAGAGTCCTGGACGACACTTACCTGTACACGCATAACAGAAGAAGCAGCAACGTGAAGCATTTGGATATTTATTTATATTTCAATTACTTCTTTGAAACCAAAGAAAAAAAGACCAAACTCGGCAACAGATTAAGAAACAGAGCATCTTAGAACAAAAAATTAGTCAACTTCTTACAAGGCTGTACAAACGTACTTATGTGCCTTTTACTTATTCACATTTTCTACATTTACAACCACAAACTCCAGAATTTTTCTTTGTACTTTACATAATAATCCAACACAAAGTTATGCATAATTGTCAAGTGGAAGAAATAAGATACATGGTTTTCAAAACTTCTTACCAATAAAAATCTACACTATAAGTTTTTTTTTTATTTAACCTTGCTGATACAGTTTGTTGTAAAACAATATGAATATGTTTTCATCTACACCACAAGTATTAATTCTCAAGGGCCAGTGCTCTGCACTTCTTAGGAAGATCACATAAAATGCTTAAAACACATCAGATTTAAAATAATCAATCGTTGAAAGCCACATGATGAGAAGGCAGCTGAGCCATTTGATTCAGGCGTGTTGGACTAGACGCGTCTAAAAGTTATTCTTCTTCGTTTCTGTGGAGGAAGCAGATCCCCACACAGTGTTGTGCCGTCACCATGATGTGTAACCGTGGCAACAGGGTTCTGGGCAAACACATAGCATTTTGAATATAAGCCAAAAAGTTAGATTTTGGTCTCATCTGATCAAAGGATGTTCTCCCACTATGTACTTAGTTTATTTAGGATCCACATCTAGCTGTAGCTATGGTGCCTTTACGCTTACAGTGGTCCAGACATCACTTCATTACATCACCAAAACAATTTTTAGAAATTAAATAAAGACAAAAACAAAAAACAACATTGAAGACAATATGGCTCAATACATGTGATATTATGTCAAACACATAATTAACTGTAACGTAATATAGTATATGTGTATTTTTGATAATACAGGAATTGTGCCAAACGGGACTTTATCTCAGTCAAAGAGGCTGAGTAGTAAAAAGCATGCCGCACCTTTTAGATTTTATTCCACAGACTCTGTAGTGGTCTATCAGTTGAAAAGATATTCCAGTTTGTGGTTGTAACATGACAAAAAGTGAAAAGGTTTGAGACGCAGGGATACCTTTGCAAAGCAGTGTACATATAATTTATGACAAGTCTTACTCTCTTTATAGAAAGTTGCGGTTTTTCACCTATCATGGCAGCATTAAAGCAGCTGCAATGAGATCAAAGCGCACTGACACCTCATTTAGCTTGTCCCTCGAAAGAACATTTTCCAACATACTCACTCTTCTTGACATTCTGAATTTAATTATTTTGAAAACAAGCATCAATTTAAATGTAAGATGTGAGAAACATTTAGCTCTGTAGAAGTAAAATGTCATTCAATGCAAATTTAAACTGTGAGCCATAATTCAGCATCTCTCAGAAGTAAACCAGCCATGACATAATTCTGCTACTCTTTCCATTAAAAAGGCGAGGCACTGGATGGAAAAATCAACACACACTTTTTTTTTGTCTTCACAACACTCTGAAGAAATTTTAACCAGAAAAAAAAAACAAGAGCAAATCCACTTAATTATTTGTAAAGACAAAACAGAACAAGAAAATAGTTCAATCACATTTAGTAATTATTGACATGCGGCTTTGTTTTAATGGATTTAAAGTCAAAACAGCAAAACAACTTAATATACCATTTATTTAAAAAAAGCAAATAGAATCACATTTACCTCACAGAAAAGTGTGAGCTTGTCATCAGGTAAGAGACCATTAGCTTCATCAAGGAGGAAATCTCTCCTTATAAATTTTTTGAAGCCCCAGTCTTTGCCTTGGACAAACCTATACGCTCTTTGGCTCTCTATAAACAGAAACATAATGTCAAGTTTTACAACATTCTTCAAACTTGCAGCTTAATAAAAAACAACAAAAATAAATGTAAAGTTTGTATGAAAATATCTGTAATTGTTACTACTCACCCATTGCTTTTGTTTCCTCTCTTTTAGCATTCAACAAAGAAAACTTAAACTTTGCTCTGACTTCACTTTTTGGACAACTAACAAGAAGTAAATACAGTGATAGATAATCTTTGCTTTCATCATCAAGTCCCTTTGGATTAACTCTCAGACACCTGGCACACAACAAAATAATGAAGATTAGCATGAATATATATGTGGGAGATAACCTTTTTATGGCCACAGAAAACTTGGACTGAAATTTAAAGTGAAATACTTTCATACTAACCATTTCATTTTGTCATTAGGGCCAGAAGAGAAGGTTGAACTCTTCAACACCTCTCCCATTTCTTCTCTGCAAAAACTAAAGTTGTTTATGGTCCACATGTAGGAAAACTTCACTACTTTGACCTGAAAACCAATAAAAATCAAACAGTTTAGGTTTTTTTATTATTTAAAAATAACTTGATTTTACCAAATATTATGGATTGGAAGTTAATCAATTCAAATAATTGCTTTATTTTACTGACAGATCCCGTTTCAATACAAAAATATATTGTCCAATCAATCCAAAACAGGCTCATAGTCAATAACACGAACTCCAATTCGATCCCAGTTATAAAGAAGTTTTATGTCAAATGACAAACAGCATTTTTACAGCAACCCTTCGTGTAGTTTAAGGTTGAAAATATAGAGTTGAGATGATAGATTTTAAAGAGAGAAACAATACCAGAATTTAGAAATTCACTAACACTTGAAATAATCCTCACATTAAAGTCCATAACTCATCCTTACAAACTGCAGCAAGTTATCACCACTTAGGCTTTAAACAACCATTTCCAGCTACATTTATTAACAGCCACCTTTACATACATTCCCAATCATTTTAATGTGGTAAAATAATTGGTAAGTTTTTTTGGACACTTCATAAAATAGACCTTTTGAGGTCAATTTGTTACCATGTAGAAATGCTGGTAACGGGGTTGAAATGCAAGTCAGCACTGGAAAGTCGCTTTTTTTTTTTTAAATCATAAAATAGTGTTTTTAAATTTGAAGGAGACGTCAATGGGTACTGGTCATTCTCCCCCTTTGCTATTTTTGTTGCTTTTGATACAAAACAGATCCATCTGCCTCCAGACGCAGACAAAACTTTTTGTGCTCTCTTTAACAACTGATGATTACCAGTAATTCTTAAATTACATTTAAGGATTATAAGAAATATGTTCATATGACTCCATTAAATAGTACTTGCACGCTCAAAACTATTATAGTTTGACCAGGGGCATTAATCTGTCAAATGTCATTAATCAGTCGACCCCAATGTACATGGGCGCATAACTGTTTCTTTAATTTTAGTAGGTTTAAATTGAATTGAAAAAAAGTATTCTGTAGTGGCTTTCCAATTAAATAAAAAAACAACAACAACAAAAAACAATTATAGTCATTTCCCAAGTCAATTAAAAACATGGAATAGAGCCAGAACTGGAAGCATGAGGGCATTTTACAGAACTTGGGATAAGATACCTTTTTAAAATTAAGTTTAGTCTGTTGGTTTGTCCCCTACCTTCTGCAATGTAACGAAATGAATTTTATACGATTTCTGATAAACTTTAAGTACAGTTAAAGATAAATATCCATATAGCAGTCAGGGTGTCCTATATTATGAGCTAATTTCATGCTAACAATACAAGCTGCCCTATTAAATCTAAATGCATGCGTTTCAAAACAGGATTAAATAATTTCTCATCAATATAATGCCCAAAAGAGATAATTTAGTAAATGAATTTATTTCTGTACCTGCGTGTAACACCAGCTCTCTGCCACAGGTCCACTTGACATCTCCCCAGGAGGAGGAGGGGTGGGAACCCGTGACATCACTGGCTCGGATGTACCACTCACTGACGTCCTTAAAGCTCTGACAGTTTCAAGAAAAAAGAAAACACAGTGTTATTTCTGGAAAAATTACCACCAGCTATGATCTCAACATTTTCTAATAATAGTGGAAAATGCCTGGCAAAATACCCACTTACTGGAATTAAAAGTATTTAACAAGTTACATTTGATTGGAAAGTTATTCTGCTTAAAACGTAAACAAAACCCAGACAAGATGCATCTTCTGTAAAAACAACGCCACAGATATTTTGGTTGTTGAAAGACAAAATACTGCCTCCATTTCTACGTTCATCGCTATTTGAAAAAAATATCTTTGGAGTTAGAAACAATTCATTTCACAATTCAACACTCGATGGACATGTTTCAGATTCTAGCATCTCTTGATAACTGAAACATTGTTCCTTTATTTACTGTACAGACTTATAATATGTAGTGTGACAATGGCATCATGACAATGTTTATTGTTCCTGTGTTTATCAAAAGTGAATTAATTAATTTAGTTATAGTTAATTCATTAAAATCAATTATTTTCCTGTATTACTTGAAATAGTTACTGCAAAACTTGCTGGTTCTGTAATACCAATGGAAGCCCCAATGGAAATGACCATACAAA